GTTTTTGGTAACTTTGATGTATTGCTATAAGGCCGCTTATCTTTGTATTGGAACATGACTGTTATCAACATTTGGTGGCTCCTAAAAGAGCCGTTTTGAGTTTGTTATTAAGCTGGGAGCTTAATGTTGTTTCTTCTCCGCCTTCTTGGGTAGAAGCACTGCTTGTATGTTGGGAAGAACTCCACCCTGAGCGATAGTCACACCAGCAAGAAGTTTGTTTAACTCTTCATCGTTTCGAACGGCTAACTGCAGGTGACGAGGGATGATCCTGGTTTTCTTGTTGTCCCGAGCAGCATTTCCAGCTAACTCGAGAATCTCAGCACTCAGATACTCCAGTACGGCAGCCAAGTAGACTGGAGCACCTGCGCCGACACGCTCGCCGTAGTTGCCTTTGCGAAGGAGACGATGGATACGACCAACAGGAAACTGAAGTCCTGCCCGGGATGAACGGCTCTTAGACTTGGTGCCCGGAGCTTTGCCTTTTCCTCGACCTGTCATTTTCACTTTCTGAATGTTCTCTTTGCTTGTTATCTCTGGCAAAGTTGAGTTGAACGATTTTGTTCTAGTCTAGTCAGCCCGAAACTATGACCCGGATTTTTATTTGATTTTTCTTCAAATCAGAGGATCAAAGCGCACCAATCAAAACCGCGCCGTACTCCGAACAAAAGATAATTAGCAGGCAAAATGCGCTGTCGGTAGCGTCGGCCTATGGGTAGTTGTCAGTTAATGAAATAACCAATCGGCGAAAGGCAATTTCGATCCGCATACTAATTAATCCTCCTGGATAATTTGTAATAAATAGCAGTTAAGTTACCGTGGCATGTTCAAAGCTGATCTCATCGGATCATCTAGAATTCCAAACAATTTTTCAGAGAAGCCAGATAAACATGGCACCGAAAGTTCCAGCAGCAAAGAAAGGCGAGAAGCGAGCGGGAAAAACTAAGTCGGCGGCAGTTGATGGTTCGGCCAAGAAAAAGAGGAAGGGAAAGAGAAAGGAGAGCTATGCGATCTACATCTACAAGGTCCTTAAGCAAGTTCATCCCGATACGGGTATTTCTAGCAAGGCCATGGGTATCATGAATTCGTTTGTGAATGATATCTTCGAGCGTATCGCCAATGAGTCTTCCCGCCTGGCGCACTACAACAAGAAGTCGACCATCAGCCCCCGCGAGATCCAGACCGCCATCAGGTTGCTTCTGCCCGGAGAACTTGCAAAGCATGCTGTCAGCGAAGG